CTGCTGGAGCAATCAGTTCAGCAGAGTTTGGTCACTTGTTAAATTTTAAGAATTGGTCATACCTTTGTCTGCACCAGGACTGAGTTAAGCCTTTAATGCTGATGTGACCAGCTCTTTAATGACAAACAATTAGCAAGTGGGGTGTGTTTTAGTGTTTATCTAGACACAATGCTGGGGGGATAATGTGGAGAAACTCGGGGCTAAACTTGGCTTTGTTCTGTTTGAGAGCTAATCTAAAGTTAATTTGGACTCTTCAGGAGATGGCAAACTGCCAGTCTGTGATCCTGTCTGTGGAAGATGACGTTGGACAAAGAATTATAACTGAAGATTTGCTAGAAGCTACCCGCAGCCCTGAGCTGGGCATGAGACAGGCAGCAGCTGTTATGCTGAATATCTACTGCTCCAAGACAAAAGCAGACTATACTGGGCATCTCAGGAGCTTGGTTTCAGGTTTGATTCGCCTGTTTAATGACACCAACCCTGTAGTTCTGAATGAAAGCTGGGATGCGCTTAATTCCATCACCAAGGTGAGAGGCAGCTTAGAAAGGTTACAGGAGTAATGCCTGGCCTGAGAAGACTTCACAAAAGATATCTGGATGTCATGTTGCCTGATCTTTGTTTTACCCCTCTCTCCTGCAGAAATTAGACGCTGGGAACCAGCTTGCTCTCATTGAGGACCTGCACAGGGATATCCGGATTGTAGGGAATGAGGCCAAGGGCGAGCATGTGCCAGGATTCTGTATTCCTAAGAAGGTAAAGGATCAGAATGAGCGTGGATTCATCACAGCCACCATACCCCACCTTTGAGGAGAGCTGATTGATATTATAGCTATTAGAAGCAGTGACTATTTTGGCATTCCAAACCTTTATGTTGGAGGACTTTTTGTAGGTTAGAGCTCTTGAGTAACCCTACAGAAGACCCCTCTTGCAATGAGGTCTCTGACAGTTCTGTTATACACGTAAGTTATGGTTACTGGCTGCTTTTTGTGGGGGAGTAACACTGGACTTCTGTGCCAAATTTCTCTGGTTTAAAAATTCCCTGAGCCGCCACCACTTTTCTCATAGCAACTGGCTTAGTAAGGCGGAGAGGCATGAAATCAAACCAAATAAAAGTAGCTCTGTCAATGTGGAATCAGGCAGCTGAAGGTCAACAGGAAATTGAGAGAAACTCTCCAAGTTTGTGCATCTGGTGTATAATAGCAGCAAAAATAAGATACATATTTCTTGCATCTTAGCTTCTAAGCTTTCTTATCCGATTTTCGTGACAGGGAGTGACTTCCATACTTGTGGTGCTGCGGGAAGGTGTTTTAACTGGTAATCCAGAACAGAAGGAGGAGGCAGCAAAGGCCTTAGGACTGGTTATAAAGCTGACTTCTGCTGAAGCTCTCAAACCATCTGTTGTGAGCATCACTGGGCCACTCATTCGAATCTTGGGAGATCGGTTCAGCTGGAATGTCAAGGTGGCTCTGCTTGAAACATTAAGCCTTCTTTTAGCTAAGGTAAGATTCAAAGTATTGGACTGTGGTTTGTGAATGTTTTCCATGGCAACCTTTAGAAATACCTGTTGCTGTTCATGTAAATACAGCTGGGATGCTTGCTGCTGTGGATTTGATATGTAGAGATAGCACTTTAACTGATTGCATTCTTCCAGCAGCTTCTGGCCTACAAAAAAAGCCCCCAGTGCTGAAAAACCTGGCTTAGAAATATTGATAAATGCTGATACCACTTGGGAGTGATTAAAACCCACCATGTAATTGATTTCTCCTGTATCCACCATTTTTATGTATTGTTAAATGCGAAGATCTTACTTATCTTTGAACAGAGCTGAGCTTTTATTCAGTGCTCTGAGTACATGATAGTGTAGAATTTCTCAGTGCTACCCTTGCATTTCAGTGTGAAGAAAAGCTTATTAGATTGGAAAAAGTCAAAGGTTTTGTGGTAAATTTTTGTGTCACCACAACAATGGTTTTGTGGTAAATTGTTTTTCCTATTTTAGTAATGTGTTAGATTTAACGAGGGTTCTCTGATAACAAACTGTTGTGGAAGAGGTTTTCAGGCTTTGATCTCTAGCTGCTCTTTAATACTTGACCTTTTCCTTTACTTCTATTTCTAGCATGTCAACAGTTTCATGTCTGTTGCAGAGACTGACTTTCCCTTCTTCCACTCTGGAATAGGTTGAGATTGCTCTGAAACCATTTTTGCCCCAGTTGCAAACAACGTTCACCAAAGCTCTGCAAGACTCAAACCGCGCTGTTCGCCTTAAAGCTGCCGATGCTCTTGGGAAACTCATTGTCATCCACGTCAAAGTGGATCCTCTCTTCACGGAGCTCCTGAATGGAATTCGTTCCAGCGATGACTCTGCCATCAGGTAAGCTGCAGCTGACAGCTCAGACTTCCTGCTTACCAAGGACGAAAGAAAGAGCTGGGATGAATGATCAAAACCCCCCAGTTAGAGTAAGATGCATGTATTAATGAAAGCAGTCGTCTGCAAACCAGGAAATGGGGATAATGAGGCCTTCTTGTGTCAGAAGTTGAGCTTGAGAGCATTTAGGAGAAAGAGTGCTTGGGGTCTGCCCAGTTCTCCTGTCCTGCACATCCCCAAGCAGCCCACTTTAAAAAGCAGTATTGACAGTCAGTCTGACCTGAAGGAAAACAGCTGTTTTTGTATCCTACGGGCACAAGATCCCTAAGATATGAACTTCTTGACATGATAATTTTTTTAATGTTTGAACATTCAGAAAATATCTGTGTTGTGTTAGACAGAAATATGGAAGTCCTATCTAGTATGGAGTCTGCAGCAGTGCAGAGAGGGGATCACTCTCCCAAACTATAAGGCATCTCAGTGTAATTGCTGTGCAAGGATCTACAGGTATCCGGAGTAAAAATTCTCTGAGAGGGTTGGGGAGAGGCAATGTCTGACTCTAGAATGTGATCTCTTCCAGGGATACAATGCTGCAAGCGCTGCGGTTTGTCACACGAGGAGCTGGTGCTAAAGTGGATGCTGCTATTAGGAAGAATATTAGCACGGTGCTGCTGGGGATGCTGGGACATGATGAGGTACTGCTTCAGCCAACTGCAAACAGTCTTGTTCTTACATTTAAAATCTGAACTTTCTAACAATTACTATCTAAAATAACTTCTGGGGAAATTAATATAATTATGTATATATATATATATATAATGATGTAGTCACAGTGAAGAATTTGAGACTCCTGACCAGTCCCTGGTAACTCTGAAAAGCCTTCAGTTTAATGTTTCCTTGGCAACTGCATATGTGGGTTTGACCTGCAGCTCCTCACTAACAGGTTTCAGGTAGCTCTGCAGTCAGGATTTGCTTTTTATCTTGGAGAAAGCCTGCAGTACCTTCATTATATGCACAGATGTGTTTATAACCTCTCATGCGAGGTTTATCAGTCCATGTGAGAAATTTTTCAGATAATGGTAGATTTTTCTCCAATGAGAATAAGCTCTCCAAGTTTAATATAGGGTCTTCTGTATAGAGCAGATAGCAACGGTAACATGAGGGACTTTAAATTAATCATCTAATAATTTATTTTTTAAGTCAGTCTCTGCAATAGACATGAAACTGTTGACATGCTAGAAATAGAAGTAAATTTGGGGGAGAAGTGGACAGTAATGGGATGGTCACATAAGGAAGCCAAAATAGAAAAAGCCTGGAAGTGTTAAATGAAGAGTAGCAAGAGTTTATCACAGAGACCAGCTCATGCTCAGATGGCTAAAAATAACACTTACAGTAAGTGAATCTAAAGTAAGCTTTTGTGAACTCATTTTTAAAACATTGAATTTCATCTTTATGACTTTTCCATTTAACATATCAGAACTGTAATTCTTCATGCTGGCTTTTTTGACCTTAGATTTTGTTTTAAGTTCCATTATATACAAGAAAAAATATGAACTGAAATAAATCCTCAGGAGTACGAGTGAAATACTGCTATTTATTTTCTCCTCCTCTTTATTTCCTGTCATGCTCTGACACTTGTTTTTCTTGCTGCCTGTCTCTGGGGTGTGTTGAGCCATGTTCTCTGTTCTCCCATCCCCTGTCAGGATGCCACCCGCATGGCCTCGGCCGGCTGCCTGGCAGAGCTGTGCGCCTTTCTGTCCGACGACGAGCTCAGCACTGTTCTCTACCAGCACTTACTGGGTAGGTCAAGCTGTTTACGGGGTGGAACAGATGCTGAAAGCAGGGAGGATTCCTTCTCAGCCATTGATTCAGGCTAACTTTGAGACTGAATCTCTGCTCTGTATTTTCTTGTGTTTTTCTTAACTCACGGCTCTTAATTTGTGCACTCTGGTACACAGGGAGCACAGGTAACTGGTTATCAGTTGGGGTTGCCCAGGCCTTTTCTCTGGATTTGTTATCTGAAGACTTGATAGAAGTACTACAATGGCTGAGTAATTGCTGTTGCTGACACGAGGACAGCTGGACATGACAGGGTGTTCAGGCAGGGTGGACAGGAGGGCAGTCCCACCTTTTGGTACAGCACTGTGATCTTAGGTTGGCTGATGTTAATTGCAGACCACATCTGATGACTTCACATGCTTTTGGAGAATTAACTAATTTGCCTCCAAGTTAGAAAAAAACATGACTTTTATAGGACCCCAGTGTTTGAGAGTGTTATGGATTACTCTCCCCTATGGACTTAAAAAGGAAGTCTGTTGGCTGGTCAAATTATAGATGACTTTTACAAATTTATTAGATCGTCAAAGCTTGTGTAATTTTGAGCCATCAGAAATATCTGAGTTGAACAAGAGAGTCTCTTGTTTGTGTCTGCTTCCCTGCTTGCCCAGGTGGTGGTCCTGCCTGGAAAAGGTGCTGCATTTTAGCTCTGTCTGTATGTCTTTCTGGGAGGAAGAAGCAGGGCATTGGTTTAGATGCTGCTTGTTATTTCATTTTATGGCAGTGAATTGACAAACTGCCCAAAGCCTCTCAGATGAAGAGGAGTAGCTAGCAGGAGCTCTGCCATCGTTCTGTTCTTTCCTCTGCAGCAGATGTCTCTGGCATTGACTGGATGGTGAGGCACGGGCGGAGCCTGGCTCTCTCGGTGGCTGTGAACGTGGCTCCTGGCAAGCTGTGTTCCCCAAAATACTACAACAGTGTCCAGGAGATGATCATCAGCAATGCCACGGCCGACAGGGTGAGTCCTGCCCCATGGGGGAAGTGCTGTTGCAAGCTCTTGTTGGGAGCAGTTTTGAAAGGTGTGTGAACAGGTTTCCTGTGTTACCAACCAGGACAAAAACCCCCAAGTGCCATCTGAGGAGTCTCCCTTGGCTCGATGCAGTTTTTATGGTGAAATTACACAACTGTTCTGGGTCTTTGAGTTCTGATCTCTGGGGAGATGAAGATTATTTAATCTTTAACTGCAGAGTAGCTTTCATTTGGAGTAAATTACACTCGTGTTTCCCTAGAGAGTTGTCATTCACTGACCAAGTTTGCAAGAAGTGGAAATTACTCATTTTAGGAGGGAGAGTTTAAATCTGGTGTTGAATGAGTAGTTTGGGGTAGGAATTTTGTGGGCTTGGTGAGGCCTGCTGCCTTATTTCTTTTGGCTCATGGTTGCACTGGGATTTTTTCATTATATTACCCAATACCAGTAACCCAATGCTTTTTGATGCTGCTATTATTTTGAAAGATGGGTTTAGCCTTCCACAGAAGCTGACAAACCACGAGTTTGGTTTTAAATGCTGTTGTTGAACTGTGCTGTAGTAATACCAATTCTTGTCTTTATCGTGAAGATCCCCATTGCAGTTAGTGGCATCAGAGGGATGGGCTTTCTCATGAAATACCACATGGAAGAGGGAGGCAGCCTGCCTCCCAAACTTTCCAGCCTCTTTATTAAGGTAAGAATTTTCATGTTAGCTATCTGCTGGTGTTCTTGTGTGATCTGAATCTCTGTTTGACCTTCATGGGTGGGTCTATCAAGTCCCTGAAAATCTAGATATTTCTTTTTGAGGCAGAGTGCAGACAGAACCACTGTATTAGCCTGCTTTGAACCTGTGAATACAAAACTGCCATCCCTGCTCTAACATGGAAATTTGCTTTTGAGCCTTCTGTGCTGAATACCAAGTCTGAGTCTTATAAATGCATTTTGCCTTTGCAGTAGTAAACAGCTTGGCAGAGAGGCAGAGAAGAGTGTGAAGAAGCTGTCAGGTTTTTAAGATTGCTAAAGGTCAAACAGCCTTTGCTAGAAATGTATCAAATACCAAAACTCACCTACCTGAGAACAGTGAAGTTAACATCTTTTTCAGTTCATTTAGATTTAAGTATTTTTCTTCAAAATTCCTTTATTGGCTGTTTCTTTTGGAGTGTGGCTGGGGTTTTTTGGTTTCTTTAGTTGTTTGCCCTCCCCAAACCCCACCTTACACCTGAGTATCCCTCTTCGTTGACAAGGATAGACAGAGAAGGGTGATGCTGCAGCATGTTACATTTTCAGGTTTACATTTCTTTGCAAGTTACTTGAAAAACTACCAAACATGTCAAGTTGACATGATACAGGCCAACATTCTTCAAAGCAGACTTTTTGTTTGAAGTCCAACTTTTCTATGTTAATATAATAGTATTGTGTTAAAATATAAAATATCACATTTTCCACAAAACCCTTATCACCTTATTAATAATGCACTTCAAATTCACACATTAGCTTTCATGTTTTAAATGGGTTAAGATTAAAATACAAAACTCTCATTCTTAGAATTTTGAAGTGAGATCCACTGTTAAAATGCACCCAGTATTCCAACCAGAGACTGGCTTGGCTGTTGTTGCTGAGTGAGTGTGTTGTAGAGGTGCTGACACTATCAGCTTTCCTGCACTTAGTGGTCATTGTCATTTCCTGAGACAGTTGAGATGAACATGTGATACTGTCATCTATATATTTAGGAATTTTCTATTGAAAAGCTGTCATGTTTTCAAGGTTTGATCTTGTCTTACACAGTTTAGTCAGACTTAATTGGCAACAAGTGTGTACCTTGTGTACCTGTGAGTTGAAAACTGTCTGCTTTTCTTAGCATAGTTTTAAATACTTAAATCGGGAAATAACCAAAGAACTGCTTTACATATTTGTCCTTGGTATATCTGAATGTAAGTGTTATCTTTGTTTCCTTCAGTGTCTTCAGAACTCATCCAGTGACATAAAGTTAGTTGCAGAAAAGATGATTTGGTGGGCAAATAAAAGCCATCTTCCCCCATTGGATATTCAGACAATTAAACCAATTCTCAAAGCACTTCTGGACAACACAAAAGACAAAAACACCAGTGTAAGAGCCTACAGTGACCAGGCTATTGTCAACCTCCTGAAGATGAGAGCGGGTGAAGAAGTGCTTGAGGTATGAGAAATATAAAAAAACCATAATTGTTGGTAGTAAGGCTGTGTCATCTCATTCTGCATTTGTCTGTGTGGTGCCTGCAGCCTCAGAATGTGCTGGAAGTCCCTCATGAAATAGATGAAGTGGGATATTCCCACTTTCATTTACATCTTCAGCAGCATTCTCATGCTAAGCTCTGAAGAAATCAGCAACATCTGTTCTGTACAACCTTACAGTGCAGCATTAATAGAATCGAGGCATTTAACATACCCCCTTTATTAAGCCTTGCCTATGCTGAGTTCCCTCAGCTGGCACTGGTAATTCATTGCTTTGGTCACTTGCATGATCACAATGGTGCTAGGAAGTACTTAGGATGGACTACTTCATGCATCCATTTCCAGACCTGTTTTCTAAGTCTGACCTGCTTTTGGATAGTTCCCACATCTGGAATTGTAAAACCAGGTGGAGACTTTTGGGAAGATTGAAAGATTTTAGTTGATACAGCACCTAAGGCACTTACCCTGATTTTGAATGGTGTGTTGTAAGGAGTTGGTAATTGTTGCTGTCTCCCTCCCACAGTCAGTTTCCAAGATTCTGGATGCTGCCAGCCTGGAGCTTCTCAATGAAAGCTGCAGGAGGTCCCTGTGGAAGCTGGCTGGGCAGGCTGACTCTGAGGAACAGATCGATGACACTATCCTGACGTGATAAAGCTCCCGAAGACCAGGAAACACTGAACCAACCGCTGCATCAGCATTTCAACTCAAACACCTATTATAAATGTTTTCATTTTTGAAAATGTTAATTCTGATGGGATTTCATGAAAAGGACTCCCAGAGAGTATTTTAGTATCAAATATACCAGAATAGCCTTAATTAGACCCACACTAGATGAAAATAAAAAATTTGGTCCCCTTTTTGAAACAGATAATGTACAAGAGGCAGACATACTAACCAATACTGGTCAGCTGTGGCCAATTGTGACATGTGGCTAGAGCACATCAGGCTTAATCTCTGGTGTCAGCTATTTCCTTTCCAGGGTCTGTGCAAAAACTCCAGTACTGGAGGTGTGTTGGTTTTTCCATGCACCCTGGAAGGCAGGAATAGAACTTGGTGAAAGTTCAGTTGTATTGTTTCTGTGTACTGCTAACTTGCTGCTTGTGACGGTTCTGAAGACTGAAAATCCCTGTAAAATGAAGTATTTAAAATAGCCTTAGAAATCACAGATGCGAAAGGGGGATTAAATGCAGTCCGTTTAGAGAAGGAACATTTAATAAAGGCTCTGACTTTGATCTTTCTGATGTAAACTGTTCTTTTTACAAATTCATTTGTCAACAAACTTACACTGTGATTTACTTTTCAGACCTGTTTGGTTTAGGGCATACAGTTTATAGAGTGGACAGTGCTGTGATCTGTGAACACCTTTTGCAGAACTGAAGCAAGACAGGGTTTAAAGCCAAGGCAGAACTGACATTTAATGAAATTTGTAAGTAATTACTCCTGTTGATTTCCAAAGTATTTTTGACTACAGACAGCTTTTTAATTACCCAACTCGCGAAAAGTCCTCTGTATTTACGTCTTCAAAGGCATCACAAAATACTTGCCATTAGGTTTTTTGGTCAATGAGTTGTGCTGCTCCAAGAAAGTCTTTTATTTTACCTGGCCACATATATCTGTCTTGAAAAAAAATCAATTTACTAGTAGATTTGATGTCGCTTGATGGATATACTGAAAATCTTGTTGCAGAATACAAATTTGTAGAAGGCAAAATGAGCTCTATGTTCCATGTGGAGCAATAGTTACGTGAGCCTTACCTATTGTATGAAACTCACAGAAGGTGGTTGCACCTGAGAAGCCAGAGCACTAAGATTTGTTATTTCATGAGGGTGGTGTGTATGTGTGTGTGTTGAATCTTCCTTCTTTATAACTCTGGATGCCACAAACCATGATGATGGGAGAACACAACACTACACATAAAATCTGAGAGCATTAAGTGGAACTCCATGGGAGCACACATTCTGCTAGAAGCAATTTTCTGATTGTTATGGCAATAGCAGCAAACACAAGAACATTTTTATCATACTCATGCCTCAAACAGCAAGATACAACCATGAGCAGGTATTTGGGAATGCTATGGTTTGTTCTGGTCAGAAGTACAAAAATCTGACAAAAGGTTCTTGATGCTGTGTCAGTTCCCAGCCTGTGGTGTAGCATCCTGACAACAGATTTGCTGTAGGAGGTAGTGGAAACTTGGGCAATTAGATATTTTACCTTTTACCTAAGATAGGCTCAGCTCCCACTAAACCATTCCTAGCTGACTGCCACACAACTGTTTATATAGCATTATAGGATGGAGATTCCATAACCTCTCTATGCATCTATTTTGTTATATGAACTTACCAGACTGTCAGAATGTAGCTCATGTCTGAAGAAAAGAGTTTTCCCTGCTGCTACTTGAATCCATTGCTGCTTGTCCTGCTCCCACAGACATTGAAAACAGTTCCTTTTTGCAGCAACCACATTCTCACTTCAGTATCCTGAAATAAATTCAGATTTTCTATGTATTTCCTTAGAGATTTCCATGTTTTCTACACTTACACTGCTGCCCCTCATGTTGGTTTGTTTCATTCTGACTCCTTTTTGCCTCGAGGTGTCCACTGCTGGCCCAGGTCTCCCGGGGAGTTGGTTTGCAAGCCCCACTTAACAAACACAGTTGTCCACCCCAGCACAAGGTCTGGGTGTTCCTTTGTTGCAACACCACCATGTTGTGGACATGTTAGTTTGTGATCAGCTATGAAGCCAAACTAAAAATGGCTCTTTAGTTAATTATGTCTAATCTTGTATTTATGCATTGGACACATTTCTACAAAACTGCAGCGCTTCCCAGTTGGTCTGACAGAAATTGTGTTCTATTTAATCACATTTAAGATGGGTTTTAATTCTGATTTTTGCGTTTCAAAATACTTGCAAATCTGAAATCATCTTAAAACTACATATTTTGCATTGAATTGGTAATACTCAAGAGTGAAAACTCAGCTAAATGCTCTTAAAGATTTGGCAGTTCGGGGCACTGAAATGAGTTTCACCTGAGACGAATTAGCTGTGCTTTGGGATCCCAGGAACAGCAGTTAAACCATGCAATGCAAAAACCTCTGCCCTGACACATGTACAAAATTTGATGCCACTCAAAACCTACTAAGAATGTGTCAAAAAGCTGTGATTGTACTGGAATCACTCACTCCATCACTGCAGCCAGGAAGGAATGAAAAAATGGCAAGTTTTGGTGAAGATTCTGCTTGAACTCTTGATCATGGGCACCTTGGCTTACCTATTCTGATTCCAATTGATGCCCAGATAAACATGGGAAAGAAAATTATAGGTAAATGAAGCCTTTTTTATTAACTTGTTCATTTCAGCCAATAAGATATTCTATTATTTTGATGATTTGTATTTCCAGCTTTGGTAGCAGCAAGTGGAAAAACTCATTCATCTTCCCAAACAACACCTGAATTTCTGCACTGAGCTTAGTTGTTCCTGGGAGGGAGGAGTGAAAGGTGGGAGCTCACTTGCACTTGTGGAGAATATGCTGATTTTTCAGTCACAGTGAAACACTCGATTTGGATTTTGATAGCTACTTTTGTTAAACTATTTATACATTGCAATATAATACATCAGAGATAAAATAGCCATAATGTTTGTCACGAGATCTGATAAATTGATTGTGCCAACTTGGAGACTAAAGAATTAATTTTCTTATTTCAAATGTCTTAAAAATACCAGTTGTCAGTAAAAGATAATTTTTCCCTACAACTGATGGTAATAACATCTTTGAACTGTCAAGCAACTGTCTCTGAGTGACAGCTGAACTGTGCATTTCAAGAAGATCAAAAAATAATTTATGAGAGAGGTTTAAACTTACAAGGTGCTAAAATTACAATGGAAGAGAGACAAATGTAAAAGCATAAAATACTCAAATATTTTGATTTTTTTTGATCAGTCACAGTTCTTACTGTCCATTTTATTTAGTAACATCATGACACTTTTCACATGATGAGGTTTCATGAGCTTAAAAATAGAGGTAATAGGAGTCACTGTCATTTTGGGTTTGAGCTGGTGGTTTGTGTGCTGGATTCAAGGAATTTTCCTGCAGCTACAGCGTCCTCAGTTACTCTGGTGGTGCTGGATTGCCCCATGCTTGTCTGGGGTGAGTGATTTTTTATATATATATATATATATATATATATATATGTGTGTGTGTATATATATATATATATATGTGTGTGTGTGTGTGGTGTTTAAAATGCATGAATTGCAGAGTGAATGTCAGCTGAAGGTCACATGAATGGATTCCAGGATGTGAGGACCTTGACAAAATGCATTTTGAAAACTATAATGTGTTTTTGAAGGTTAAGATTAAGAAAGGTTTATAATTAGGTGGAACATGACCCACTTAACCAGGTTGCCCCATTCCCCACCCAGACTGGCCTTGGACACATCCAGGGATGGGGCAGCCACAGCTTGTCTGGGCAGTCTGTGCCAGGGCCTCCCCACCCTCACAGGGAACAATTTATTCCTAATACAGACTCATTCATCATCTATAACAATCCAAGTTCTTTAGCGCTAATATACCTCTTCCCATCTGAATGACAATGCATGTTAGTAAGACAGGTTTCATTAAATAATTCAAACTTGATCTCAGGAGTTCAAGTACCAGTGAGAATGTTTTTTAAAGAAAAATTAATCACAGCAAAAACCCAGCACTTTTCTTGTGCCATGTCTCCACTTAGAAGTGACGATCTCCTAAAAAGTGACCACATTCTTGCAGTAATTGTGTAATCAATGTCTGTGCAACTGATAACAAAATCACTGAGGCTGCTGGATGACTGAGAGTGCTTTTGAACTGCATATGTGGGCTGGGGACGGTGCAAGCACAGCTGCTGATGGGCTTGAGGTCAAGGCACATCTCTGGATTAAAAACCCCAGGAATCCATTTCAGACTGGCCTGACTTGCCAGGCCTGTGACACACACCTGGGTAGTTCATATCACTGCTATGGGGCTCCTCACCTGCGGCTTGGGCTGCGCTGGGAACTGTTCCTGTACCTACACAAATCGCTCCTTCGGAGCAGAGCTGGGAGTGCTGAGGCTCCCTCACGCCATTGATGCTTCCCTGGGGGCAGTGTCGCTTTCAGCCGCGTCCTCACACGAGCACCTACGGGAAGCGGGGGGGCAAAGGGCTCTCGATGAAAGGTCTGTGGGCGGCTCGGCGCGGGGGCAGGACGGCTTTGGGCGGAGGGCGGCGGGTCCCTCCCTCAGCCCGACGCCGCCGCCTCAGCCGCCGCCTCAGCCGCCGCCCCTTGTGCGCAGGCGCGGGCGCGTGAGGGCGCGGCCGTTTTCCCGCGCAGCCGCGGCGCGGGGCGGCGGCGCAGCTGGCGGCCCGTGGCGGCGGCCCGGCGCATGCGCGGCGGCGGCTCCGCTGTCAGTTCCGGCTGTTTGTCCGGGAAGTGGCTCCGGCCGGAGCCGCCGCCGCCCCCCGCCCCCCCCCGCCCGCTCCGCCGCCCGCGGCCGCGCCCCGGCCATGGCCCGGGACTACGACCACCTCTTCAAGCTGCTCATCATCGGCGACAGCGGTGAGCGCGGGCGGCACGGCCGGGGGTGTGGGT